AGCCTCCTTCTTGGGCTTTGCCTGCGGCTGCGGCTTACTGCTGAGTTTCGCACAGTCCTCGTGGCAGCACTTCGGCTGGTGAGGAAAGGGTTTGGGTGAGCGGGGCCCAGGGCGGCTGGTGTGTCCCAACACGGTGACTGTGGTGCGGGAGACCTGGGCCTGCCTGGCTCTGGTCCTGTTGCTCATGCTGCATCAGCAAACCTGCATCATTGTCACTGAGGAGAAAGCCAAAGATTGAACAGGTCTGATTCCCTCCTGGCCTTTGTCGCAGAGTGCTGCCCACTGGCAGTTGAGAGATTTCACATGCAGGGTGCTTACATGTCCTCACATCAGTGGCGGAGAGGTGACAGATTGGATAGTCTATTCTAGAAATCCTAGATTGAGGGAAATGTACCATTTGGTTATTTGTTCAATACTCCTGCTTTTGCAGGATGTGTGCGCCATTTGTGGTATTATTACTTACAGCAGTGGTGAGCAAACTGGCCCGCATGCAGCTTATCAAGCTTCTGTGTGTAGCCCACAAGACATTTTGTTTACTGTGGTCCACACGCAAGGGTGTCAGAATGTGTTGGTTTCTGTCCAAGTAGTGTTTTTCCTCCCCATTGGTATTACTAAAGTAACATGCATGTTAAGTGAGGTGCATGCTGATTGCACACAACATTGACTGAGAGATGCATGCCCCTTCTGCATCCAATTAAAGCACTGCTATGGTTCTGTCTGCACACCCTGCAAATTTTAGGTATGCAAGTGCAGTTAACAAAACTAGCTAATTCTGGGAGGCATTCTGATTACTGCAAGCTTGCGGCCCACTGAGATGAACGAGGCCCACTTACTAGCCTACATTGCCCATCGTTTCCTTACAGTCTCTACCTGCTGCTGTGGTCTGCTTTATACGCATTAGGTAAAACTTTATTACTAATGCGTGAAGCATCCAGTTCTTCCTAAATGAAAGTCTTGACAGTTTTGTTTTTAATATACATGTATATGTAACCTTATATAAATGATATGTTTGTTCGTAACATTTGTATAGATAGTGGAGAATAAGAGTTGCAGAATTCTAGTTATGCTGCTGAACGGTCAACAGAGTACCCTGGATTTCAAAACAGGATTCCAGAAAAAAACACAGCAAAATGTAACTGGAGTTTTTCAATAAATTAAGTTCAGCTTAAATTTGGGTGGTTTCTTCTTTTCTAGGTATATGTGTTCCTTGTCACTGTTCCATTATTCTGAGTATTTGGTGACAGCGATCAATAATCCCAGAAGTTTGTCCTTGGACTCTTTCCTCCTAAACCACAGTTTTGAGTATAATCTAGCTGCTCTCTCTTCTTGGATAGAGTTCACAGTTGAAAAAATCATTTATCCAGGTCAGTAGCTTTATTTGAGGTTTCTGGGTAAGTTTTTTAAAAAGAATAGTAATTGCCCCAGGGTGAATATAGGCTGTATGTCACAGGAGGGCATATGCAGCATATTTTAAGCAATTCATAAAGGAGATGCATTCCTAGGATTAAATTATTTTGATGTGTTTGGTGAAATCCTGGCCCTGCTGAAGTCAATAGGTGTTTTGCCACCGATTTAAACAGCACCAGGATTTCACACCTTGTGTATGGGTATGGCTCAGCATGTTGGTGTTTAAATACATTTTATGTGGGATTCTAACAAAGCATGGTAAAGGATGAAACCTGGGAGTTGCACAGCTAGGCTTGATAGTCACATCTAGTAATTCTGTCTTGGGTTGTCTAAAGAAGAAGAGATTTTTGAGTAAACTGACAATTGTTACAAACACTAAGCCTGCTGTATTGACTCTTGAAAGTGAGTATAGTTTTTAGGCAATCTTGAGTACCAGTGAATGATTAGCATTCTGTTTATATAAAAAAAAAAAAACTTGGAAGTGGAGATCTTCCTGACTGGATTTTTGTCAGTGCTCAAGCAAGATTCATGTTACCAATAAATAACAATTATTTTGTGATTCTTCATCTTTTTAGACACTTTTTTAAACTAGTTTTCTGGAATGGGAGACGTACTTATGGCTTCTCCATTTCAAACCCCCTAGGTTAGACCAGAGGGGGGTTGTTTTGGCTTCCTCGGTGCTGCTCTTGAATTGGTGGGGAGAGTCTTAGTGCATACTTTTTCCTCTGAGGACTAAGCATATTAACTGCAACCAGTTTGTAAAATAACAAGACAGTGTTCAGTTCTAGGGTTAGATTCTCTTTTAGCTGTGTATTCTAGCCACTCTTCCTTTGCATTTGGATTTATCAGGAATAGTTAAGAGACACTGCCGCCTTGTCAGTATAGGTGAAGAGTAAGTAGTGCATCAGACTGCTGTTCAAATGCTTTGTTTAGTTTTTATAGACTAAAATTTTAAAACACATGCTGCATTTATGTTATTCATTGTCTTAAAACAACAAGAGCATGCCTGTCAGTCTCTTGGGGATAGTATATAATAACTTTGGGGCTTTGATGCATCAAGTTAGGTTAATTAATTTCGAGGGTACACTCACTCTGCTCTAGACCTCTAACCCTAAATTTCCTTTTTTACCTGCAATAAGAGAACTTTTAAAACCTGTTGTGACCAGTACTTATTCACTTGCAGAAATGAAGCAGATCACCTGGCTCAGTGCAGTAGGGTTATTGATGGTGATCTTTGGGGAATGTCTGAGGAAAGCTGCCATGCTCACAGCTGGCTCCAACTTCAACCATATTGTTCAGAATGAGAAATCGGATACTCATACTTTGGTGACAAGTGGGGTGTATGGGTGGTTCCGGCACCCATCTTACGTGGGATGGTTTTACTGGAGTATTGGAACACAGGTATTGTATAAAATACACTTAGCTATCTTGATCTTCTAGTTTTTCTTAATGCTACCCAGAGTCTGTACCTAATCTGTATAGCAAAAGATCAACTTATAGGAGTCCTGGAATGGATTTTGACACATTCTGTCTTCCACCAGCACACTTTTAGCTGTCAGTCATGAAACTGCTGGCCTCTGAACTCTCCATCTTGTGAGTTGGGAAGACCCTATATCCTTAATTTTCTGTATGAAATAAGCAGAGGCAATGGAGCATGGGTTTGAACTGGAACACTTTCAGAGGTTCAAGGTGTGATCTGCTGCTAGCCATGGGACCTTAAAGCTTCCAGGGTGTTTCCAGACCTCCCTTTCATCTTTACTTCCAAAGTGTCTTCCAGTAAGCCATCAGACTTGCTTTATTCTTTTTAAATATTAGTATTGTACAGGACTGACAAGTAAACTAACCCATTTAGTGTGTATAAAATCTAGGTCCAATACTTGAAACCAACTATAGTACTCTTGTAACTTAAAATGTCAGTGCATTAGATATTGTAATTACGTTAGTTGAGAACAAATATAGAGCATCAAATATATAAAACTTAGTCGTGTGTTGCTGTCTTTTTTTTTTTTTTTTTAAGAGACATTCTAAATATGCAAACCATGTATGCATTAGTCAAACACTAGAATAAATTGCCAAGGGAGGTCGTGGAATCTCCCCCGTGGAGATATTTAAGAGTAGGTTAGACAAATGTCTGTCAGGGATGGTCTAGACAGTATTTGGTCCTGCCATGAGGGCAGGGGACTGGACTCGACCTCTTGGTCCCTTCCAGTCCTAGTATTCTATGATTCTATAAGCTCTACAACCTGAATTCTCTTAGAAGCAGCACACTCTTTGGGTTTGGTATTACAGTAGAAAGAAACAGCAGTGCTCTTCATCAGAACTCATTTATAGATGGACTTGGAATGCAGAGATTATTCTTATCAATAACAATTCTAAATATTTGTGTTTGGAGAACAGGGACAACTTAAGTCTTTCTGCAAATATGTACTTGTGGACAACTAATGAAACTTCACTTGTGTTTTTCAAACAACTAACCAAAATCCTTTCCCAGGGTGAACAGTTTTGCTAGCAAGGCTGAATTGGACTTTAATAGTTTGTGTCCTCTTGCAGGTCTTACTCTGTAATCCCATCTGTGTTGTTGGCTACACTTTAGCTTCCTGGAGATTCTTCAAAGAGCGAATAGAAGAGGAGGAGATGACGTTAATTCATTTTTTTGGAGAGGAATACCTGAAGTATAAAAAGAGAGTGCCATCAGGTCTGCCTTTTATCAAGGGAATCAAAGTGGAACTGTAACGTGAAAAATCAGACTAAGCTCCAGGCATCATATGGAAAGGAACTATGCATAGCACTATATTGTGACACACTCTAATAGTTGCCCGTGTCCATTTACTGGTCATCTGCTGGGGAATCGTTAGAGGCTAGGCAACTGGAATGCCTTCCAAATAAACAAGAAGCTCAGTCAAGATAGGTGTTCTTAGATGTATAGGGGCGTTTTTGGGATTATTTAATCTATAATGATCCTAAAATGTCATGTAATGCTGGCGAGAAGATGACTCACTCTGCCTACAACAGCTGAGTTGTACTGAATATGTTGACAGATTCTGTTGAAGAATGAGCTTTGCACTTCCTAATAACTACCATTGCACTTGAAGGGTGCTGGTTCATATTTCCATGGTGAAACTTTAAAAGTCAAGCTTTTTGACAATAAAAACACTCCACAGCACAGCTTTAACCTCTCTGGACCTGACTTTACAAACCTGCAGTGTGTGGAATTCCCACTGAAGTCAATGTGGTAATGTCCTGCTTGGAGGGCTTTCAGAACTTGGCCTTTTATGTCTGTCTTTTAAATGCATGAATTTGCATACTGTTTGGGAGATATGCTTTCCTGAAAGATTGGCAGTGTGGCACAAAGCACTGTCTTCTGATACAATGTTAATAGGGGGCTTTCAATATGCAAGCTCTCTTAAATCACAAATCTTTAAACACCACAAAAGCATAGGCTAGATACTTTCTAGGTTACATAACTCAGTTGTTTCCATCAGTTTAGTGCCATGAATTTACGTTTCATTATTGCTTTCTCATTTTTTCCATAGTACCCTTGGCAAATCATAAACTTGCTTCTGTAAAGCACACTCTTCAAATTCATGAAAATCGTGCTGCATTCAATCCTATTCAAATAAACTGTTAGCTCTTTCTCCACTCAAACTTATTTTCTTGAGTGAATTATAATTCAAAGAAATTACAGCTTCCTGGTTTTTGTGACACGCAGGAAAAGAACAATATATGTCAGACTTGTAAAAGGCTGTAGGTGGTAAGAGTCTTGCCAGGTTTTAGAATACATCTTGGGTGTTTCATCTGTACAGGAAATGCTTCCAGAAAATACACTAATGTAAGAAGGTATTTTTTGGAGTAACTGTGGTGATAGTCTAAATATTCTGGAAATGATTTATATTCAGATTTTGTGGTATAATTTATTTTCTGTTACTATATACCAAAGATGGTCAGTTTCCTTGATTCTAGATAGACTTCCTTGTAGGAATGAGAATTGCATATTGACAAGTAACAGCTTGGCTTGAAGTATTCCCTTAATTAGAGCACTGGTAGAAGCTTCTGTTGGATTGTAATTCAGTAGAGTGTTTTGTTTTGTTTTCATGGTGCTATTGACTATCTGGGTTATTTAGAATGCTTAAGTTTAGGACTGAAATACCACTGGGAACACACTAGTATTAAAATGAGGTATGTACCAAACAAATCCCTGTAGACTTGAATAGCAAGAGGTATAGGGAAAAACGTATTTTCTGGCGTATAAGACGACTTTTTATACTAAAAAACATCCCCCAAAAATCGGGGGTCGTCTTATACGCTGGGTATAAACATACTGTAGCTTCGGCTACATACAGAACGTCCCTGTGCTGATACTGTATGTACCACGCTGAGCCAATCACGGCAAGCGGTGTCATCTATTAATGCATACAAAACCTGCTCGGATTGGCTGAGTCAGAGAGGCGGGCTATTACAACCTTTGCCAATCCGAGCAGGCTTTGTATGCATTAATAGAATACACAGGATGAACATGATGAGGATTTTGAAGGATTTTAAGTACCCGTAAGTCAAAACCATTTTAATTAAAATTATTTAAATCAAATCTGATATTAAATGGTGTTGCCTCGGAAGGGGGGGGGTAGCCTTATACGGCGAATATAGGCAAAAACCTATGTTTTAACTGGAAAATTGGGGGGTCGTCTTATACGCCCAGTCGCCTTATACGCCGGAAAATACGGTAATTCTTTTCCTAGTCAAGTTAAGTTTTCAAATTTCATGGCACTTGCTCAATTGAATTCTAGTTAAAATATCCACTGAGATTCAGTATGAGATTTAATGTATTGGCTTTTTTGCTCGAAGAAGGGGTATAAAACTTCAGCAGGGCTGTATTTGACTAATGTTGTCTTTCCTCTGCGTAATTATATGTAAGGATTTGATTCCTGTACAGATTGTTTTTCCTTTGCAGTAGAAGTGCCTGAAATGTACTTCTGAAAGTTATAAAAGTTGCTATGTGGCTGTAGCCTTGAGGGCGGGGGGCTGGACTCGATGACCTCTCGAGGTCCCTTCCAGTCCTATTATTCTATGATACCTCAGAAGAAATCTCAAACCAGTTAAAAATCTTAATACAAATGGTTTTTTTTGCTGAGATGAGTTTTCCATTGTATAAATATTTCATAACTACAACTACTATTGATAATATTTACCTTCTTTGTAAAGCACTTTGAGACAAAGTTGAAAAGCATCGTACTATGAGCCAGTGGGTCATTTCGGTTGATTGTGTACACATACTAGCGATAGCTCCATGAGAGGTAATGCAGGGATAAATAGCCTTGTAACCATGATAGCATGGGTAATGGCAGTGGAGGTTCAGGTGAGCCATGCAGAATACAAACTTGCCAAAAACTGATCTGTATGCGTTCCACATGGCTCGACCAGGCTTCCACTGCAATTGGGCTGTTGTGGCCGCATGGCTCATACTTGCTACTGCAAATGTGTACATGAGCAGGGGAATCAGGCTCCTAGCTCATAGTATAGCCCTGGAAATAACGAGGTATACTCAAAATGACCCAGCAGAGTAAACTTAAATGTGCTCTGGACTTTATTTTGCCAGGTAATGGAGAAAATGCATTAGGGACATGGTTTTACATAAATAATTAGTTAGGTCAAACTGGTGGAGTGACACAGTGAGAAATGCCTTGTTTAATCATGTGCTGTGTATCACTCACTTCTGTGGGTCAAATATCTCTAACCCTAAACATTTTATGCTGCATTACTCCTTGTCTCATTGTTAGACTCGAGCTCACATCTTTCTCACATGGCTGTTTGAGGTCTAGTTTGGAACAAATCCCCTGTTCACCACATGAGCCTGCATACGTCTACAACTACTGGACAGCTGTTTCGGCAAGTAAGTTAGCTAGATTTCATGGGTCTTTCCTCTTAGTTGAAAAATCATCGTTCAGTGAGACTTCTCATTCTTTTGTTAGTTTTTGTGCTTGATTTTGTTCTGGCCAGAAAGCAAACAGTCCAGTAATTGCTTCAATGTAAAACCGAGAGGCTGGGCTCTGAATGTCTGGATTTGAAATAGGCTCTTAGCTGCTAAAATTTACTGCTTTAAACTATTTAGCTAACTTAGTGGGATGGAGTATGTAAAGAAACACATTTTGTCGTCTTTTATTAGCACTTCTTTGGGAGAGTTATTGTCTTTTGACTTTCCATAAATGGCTTGCTTTCCATCACTTAAACAGGCCTGTCACTGATCTCAAATATGGTGTCATTACAGTAATTGCTCGTTTAACACATGCCCACTTAACACGTTTTCGCAATAGCACAACTTTTTTAGGGAACATTTTTCGAATAACACGACCGTCCCCAAAATAACACGAAAATAATCAAGTGGTGGACTGCTTCGTGTGGCAGTATAAATTGGTGAAAACAGTGGTAATACGCATGAGCAGATGAATTCACATGGTCACAGTGCTCCTCCACTCACTCACGTGTTTTATCTTTGTGTTTTAACAAACCGTGGTGACTTGTGGTGTTAGATATCTAATGTTGATGTTGATGACCCAGCACCAACAAAAAATTGACTTTGCCACCACTACCTGAAACCAACCCCCATCTTTTCCGCTATTTTTAATGGGGAAAATTGACCCCGCATAGCACGTTTTCGCTTAGTACGAACACTTTCAGAAATGCATCTGTAGTGTTAAATGAGGAATTACTGTACTACAGTTATCCTTTAGTTTTGGGCTTTATCTACATGTTACATTTGGGTGTTGACTCAGAACATTTGTAGCTGTTGCAAGACATCAGCCACTTTTTTTTCTGTGTAGCTGAAGATTTTGCCTAGCATGTACCAAATCTCAGGTTCTGTTAAATAAGATCTCTGTTAGGATGCATGTTCACGGTGAGAATGCAATTTTTTTAAGATTGTGTCTTTGAATGAAAGAGCTTTGCATAGCACAAACATATATAATCAGAATATGAATGGGCCCAACAAATGATTTACTTGGTTGACACAGTGGTCAGTGAGAGCCCTTTTTTCTCCAGTGGCCTTGCTGATATTTATTTTAGTATTATGACAGTGCCCCAAAGTTCCTGTTAATTGTAAATTTCAGGCTAGAATTTGCACAAAAATCAGATAGGATCCCGTGTAGGATCATTCCCTGGGTGTGGTTGGTTAGAAGAATGATCTTTACACGTCTCGATTATGACACATCTTTCAAACACCTAAATCACTTTTGAAAATGAGGTGCAGAGTGTTTTTTTAATAATGTCCCAAGTCAATTTGAATTGCACTAATGTTCTACTTCTGGAGATGGCATAGGAGTATGGATCTTAGTACTTCATCTTGTGGTATAAATATCTGGAATGATTGCTGCAGCCCTCCTTCCTGAAGGAAAGGGGAGTCAGCATTTACAAGGAAAGGTCTCCCTTTGTTCACATTTATTTATTAATCAATAAATTGTCAATGTATTTATTAATAAAAATAGATCCTGTGGCACATGCTTCAGCACTGAGGCTATTTTAAAAAAAAAATCAAGACAGGTAATCAATGAACAACTTCTAGTTCTGTACCCAGTGAATAAGAGCTTGATTCTGGTCAGTGGTAGCCAAAGTCTCGTGTTAGCAGTTATGAAGTCCTGTGGGAAAGGACTATTTATGCAGTCTGGGGAAACCTCTTAACCACTAATAAAGGGTAGCATAAAATTCTGTGCATTTTGAAGCAGTTTACCAAATTAAGTTTGTCAGATGTTTGAATTGCTGGCTCTCTGCCCCTTTCTTACTAACAGATATAAAGGGCACTGTCACGAGGTACAAGTCCTACATTTTTGGCTGAATGTGTTCAATAGATTTCAAATGTCTTCCATAGGATGTTTTTCATGTCACCTTAGTTTGTATCCCCTGCGGTGTTTGCAATTTTAAGCCAGTGCGGGGAAAATTGGAAAGTGAAACATCTGTCCATTTTTATTGTTCATAGGCTTGTGAAAGAGTGATTAGCATAAGCTACACACTGGAAAGTCGACTATTAATGGATGTTGGGAGTGAGGAGCAATGTTCCTAACTCTAAATGTTACGTGCACCAAGGAGCTTGTGCATGTGCACTACGAGTAGAAACACATTCTCCTGGCTGTGGGTGCTCTTTTGATCAGTTGTACAGCATTTGAATCTCTCCTTGGTGGTTCACCTTACAGGGAACACTGAAGGGATTAGTAAGAACACAGAGTACTTATTTATCCTAATGTCCAACAGAAAATAACGTAGTCCCCCCTCAAATTCCTAAAATATAACATGTTTACAAAAAGCCACAGTTTTAGGAATTTAACTTTGCCTTGGTTCCTTGACTTGCATCTTCTGCTTATAGCACAGAGTAAGTGTTGGCTGACACTGTTGGTCAGAATACAGCTTTCAGATAATGGCACCGAGTAAGTGTTCCTCTATTGCACTTTCTTACAGTCTGGAGTAGTTTCTGATCTCACTTTTTAGTTATTCGGGAGTTTGTCGTTGGATTGGAATATGATGAAGTTGTGTCTTGCCTTGAAAACACCTTAACGTTCCTGGTGCAATAGGAGACTGTTACCTTGTTATAGCATCATATGTTTGAAGTCTGTGCTGAAACCGTTTACTAGAATCACTCCACAATCTATTTGAGCTTGCTAAAACTAACCCCATTAAACTAATGGAGTAGTTCTACACTTTTTCTTAAATATCTGTAATGGACATTTCTTTATTTAAAAGTTCCTTTTGCAGAAGTTGAAAATTCTTTCCATTTATTAAATAAAACTATACTTGATTGAAATAACCCAAAAAGGTGTGGTGATTGTATGGGGAAACAAATTCTCTCTGAAATGTATCAAAAGGAAATTTATCTTATCTTTTGAGAAGTCTGCTAGTGCGAGGAGTGTTGTCCAGTATGCCCTTTAATTTTTCCTATGCATGTGTGGAATACATTTTGTGCCTAAAGCATGTGCAGATGTGCACCACCAGTAGAAACATGCTGCTGGCTGTGGTCAGTGTGCCAATCAGTGGCGTGGCATTTGGATCTCTCCTGCGTGGCCAGCCAAGCATTCACTTAGAAGGAACATTGGCATATGAGTCAGTAACAATCTGGCCATCCCAGAATTCCCTGGTGGTGTAGTCATACAGTATTAACAACTTGCACTAAGTATCAAGAACTGACATTTTATTTTATTTTTTCAGATTTGTAATATACACACCTGTGTACATCTTGTATGGAAAACAAGACTTCTGAACCATCTACAGCATAAAAACTTAAAGGAAATATTGTTGTCCTACAGGTCTCATTACACGACAGTGCAGAAGTGCTAAAAAACAACTCTCCAACATAACACTACATCATCACCCCAAACCCCCCACAAACCTCCCCAAAACCCAGCCTCAAGGCTATGCAAGGTGACTCTCTTTGAGGAAATAAAGAATTACATTCCACTTTGTAAAAAGGATACATTACTTACTAAGCTACACTTTGAAATAAGCTGTATTCATCAGGGTGGGGAGAAGGTAGAGGGAATAAAACTTACATAGAGCTGGCAGTTTCCATGCATTTAAAATAAACGATAGTGCCATAATGTCAAAATTAAGCTTATTAATACTCTGCTTTCAGCAGCTGAAATAAAGAATTACTGATATTTCACACCTATATCTTTTCAAAGTTTCTATATGAAGGAGAAGGGAGACCAATTCCAATGGGGGCCTACCAAAGAGTTCCTGAACTTCTCTGCTGCACAAGAGATTTTTTTGTTTTCTGATACACTGTATTTTTCTGTAACATTGTTGAAAATACAGACAGCCCCCAACATGCAACGCCATTGCTTCCTGGGGAAGTGTCGCAAGTCAGGGGCGTCGTAACTTGAACCCTCATTTACTTCTCAGGAGGTCGTGTGTCGGGGGTTTCTTGTATACAAATAGCCAAAGAGATTGGCCTGGGAAATCAGACCCTAACTAATTTAAAAACCATCTGGTAATATAATGAGAACAGTATTTAGATTCACTGAGTTGATGAAGCCTCAAAACTCAATTTCATCAAAGTAAGATTGGAAATGCTGGTTCTCCCCATCTTGTCAAGTCTTTATTTCAATGGATAGATCTTAACCATAAATGTACTTGAGAAACTCCTACATAGTCTTTTGCTTGCATATATGAAATGCAAAGTGGTGCAATTTCTTGATACTCTGCTTGTCTAAGTTGCAAAATCTTTCTGGCTGGGACTCTGTCCCACTTTTCTGTTTGGTTCTGTAAGTGTCTTTGCCACCGAGGATCCCCTACTGAATGTTCAGCGTTCGGCTGTCCACTTTGGGATCCAGCGCTTTCTCCCTGTTGTCTTCCAAGCTTCTTGTCAAGTCGTTCCTAGAGCAGAAAAGGCACCTTGGCTAAATCACAAAAAGATCGAATTGTCAGCTGGCTCAAATATTTTAACACTCTTATTTAGAAGAGAGATTCTAGGCAGTCTGCTGCTGGCTTGGGCAAACTTGCTATGCAAGTTTTATTCTTACACTTTCCATGTTTCATAGAACACTAGAACTGGAAGGGACCCCGAGAGGTCGTCAGATCCAGTCCCCTGCCCTCATGGAAGACCAAGCATCATCTAGATAATCCATAGTAGATGTTTATCTAAACTGCTTTTAAATATCTCCAGTGATGGTGATTCCACAACCTCCCTAGGCAGGAAGTTTTTCCTAATGTCCAACCTAAGCCTTCTTTCCTGCAGTTTAAGCCCATTGCTCCTTGTCTTATCCCCAGAGGTTAAGAATAATAATTTTTCTCCCTCTTCCTTGTAACACCTTTTTAGGAACTTGAAGGCTGCTGTCATGTCCCCTCTCAGTCTTCTCTTTTCCAGGCTTAAACCAACCTAATTCTTTCAGTCTTCCTTCAGGTCATGTTTTCCAGACTTTTAATCATTTTGTATGCTCTTCTCTGGACCTTCTCCAATTTCTCCACATCTTTCTTGAAAAATGGCACTCAGAACTGGACACACTACTCTAGTTGTGGCCTAATTTAGCACAGAATAAAGAGGAAGAATGATTCCTGTGTCTTACAACATTCCTGTTCATGCATCCCAGAATCAGGTTTTCTTTTTTTGCAACAATGTCACTGATTCATATTTAGCTTGTGATCCACTATGACCCCTAGATCCCTTCTGCAGTACTCTTGCCTGGACAGTCACTTCCCAGTATGTATGGGTGAAACTGTTCCTCCCTAAGTGGAGTACTTTGCATTTGTCCTTATTAAACGTTATCTGATTTACCTCTTGACTATTTCTCCAGTTTGTCCAGATCATTTTGAATGATTACCCTGTTTTCCAAAGCACTTGCAACCCCTCCCAGCTTAGTATCATCTGCGAACTTTGCAAGCATGCTCTCTATGCCATTATCTAAATCTGTGGTGTCCAACACATTAGCCACATGTGACTATTCGCTATAGCAGTAGCCATTATAGTGGCAGCTGCTTCAGAACTGGTTGGACACCCCGGATCTAAATTACTGATGAAGATCATGAACAGAACCGATCCCAAAACTGATCCCTGCGGAACACCTCTTGTTACGCTCTCCCAGCATGACCATGAACCACAGGTAACTATGCTCTGGGAATGGTTATCCTCCCAGGTATGCACTCACCTTATACTAGCTCCATCTACATTGTTTATTCATAATGTCATGTGAGACCCTATCAAATGCTCTAGGTACACCACATCCACCGCCTCCCCCTTAGCCACAAGGCTTGTTAGCTTTCTTTGATAGGCTAACAAGCCTTGTGGCTATCAGCTTGGTTTGCCATGATTTGTTCTTGACAAATCCATGCGGGCTGTTACTTACCATATTTGCTTTCTTGAGTCTGGGTAGCAAAATTTCAACAGCACATGCCACGTGGTTGTTTTTAAATAACATTTCTAAGTTCCAGCCATTCGAGTATGTAAAATGCTGGAAATCTGCATGGGATGACTAATCCTTAACTGGGTCACGTCAGATTAAACCAGGCTCCAGTTACAGTAGTTCTCTGGCAATGGACCCCAGCCATTAACACTTGGCACCTGTAGGGAATGCCCCAAACAATGCTGCTTGCTCCTCTGAGGTACATTAAAGATACTCCATGCAATCGCTGCTGGCATGTAAGGGTACCACTGCAAGGTGCTTTTAGTGGCTTGCTCCATCTCCCCATATTTTCTTTCAGTTGCGGCAATGCAGTAGTGGATGGCGGGATACTTGGCTATGCTACTTTCCTCATTCATGAAGGGCAACCCCCTTCCTCTTTTTCTCCCGCCTTCCTTGTTCTCTCCACCAAGTACTTTGAACAATTAGGTGGTGCATTTACACACTAGTTTCTCAGGGTTATATAACTCAGGATTTTCTTTAGCATCTATTGCTGCAGCTGCAGCTTCTCAAGGAAGTCTATACGGTTTGAGAAACAAACTCATGGTTTAAATATTACTGTAGATGAGTTCATTCTTTTTAGTTACTGTCTTGTGTTTCTGTAACTTTGACATTTAGGCCAGGTCGACACTAGACCTGGAAGTTGGCTTAAGGTATGTAACTCCAGCTACATAGAATACGGTTGCTGGAGTTGGCTTATTCTAAGCCAAGCTTGGTGGTGTCCCCACAGCGGGAGGCCAATGGGCACACATGCTCCCGTCGACTTCCCTTACTCCTTGCATCTGTGAGGAGTACAGGCGCCGGCCAGCCCTGCCCTCAGTGTTAAATTTATGGATCTGTATTAGACCTGCTCAATTGAACACCAGAATGTTGTTCTCTGGCGTTGAGTGAAGACGCGGTCATGGTAGAAAAACAAATGTAAGGAATGTGGTGAAGAACTGTTTTTGCAGCTGGAACTCGGAGGTGGAATCGGTATGTAAATTGCTTAAGCTGGAATTGAGCCAGGACAGTCTGGTGAAAAAACCAAAACCACCACCTTTTCCTACCCTAACGCAAAATGCATGGCGATTGCTAATAACCGCATCTGTTCTGTGTGCGCCTTTTGGCAGCACCTAAGCATAAGTCTATATTTGGACTTGATTTTAACAAAATTTTTGTTAATAGTCTCTAAGGTGCCACAGGACTTGACTTAAAAATCCATGGAATCATGATCTTTTGTAGGTAAAACCCACTTAAAACACCACCCCCCAAATAAAGTTTTGCCTCTGCAAGTGAAATCCCACCATAGAGAGTGGAAATGTGGTGCCAACACACCAAACAGCATTCGCACATGCTGACTTTTAGCCACAAGGCTGTGTCGACGCAGCCTTGTTGTTGACAGCTGCACAGTGTCGACATACCCTGCTGCTACAACCGGCAGCACTTAGTTCTCTGGAAGTCTCCCGTTTGTATTTCCTAACTTCAGTCATTTAGTTGACAGTTTTATGTGGACGCTGATGACTAATCTGTCAGTGGATGGACTCATTCTGGTGTCAAGTATTCAGAGAAGCCATCAGCATTTCAATCGTTCCGCCTGTCCCGCTACCTGTGCGTTGTGTCGCTGGTCGCTGTGCTGTCATCGTACATTTTGAGCAGATTCTCTGGCTGGTCATCCTTCAGTTCCTTGGGATCTTGTAGTCTGAAGTGAAATGAAAAGGCGAGTGAGCTTGGGGGTTCCCTGGGACCCGCAGCAGCACAAGAACGACAAATTTTCTGTCCACAGAAGCTGTGAGGCGTCAGCAGGGCAGTACAAGGTTCCCTGTGCTTCCCTGCCACTGTGGCTCATCTCCGAAGAATGGGATGACACATCTGACAGCTTGCTCTCCGTGGGGTCCCTGCTGAGGGCTAAGTCGACTGGGCACTGGCCTGAGACAGACATCCACTTTAAAGCCCACCGCCCCCCCAGGCCTCTCCTCTTGGGGAAACAGCTCTGTGCTGTCCTACCTGGGCTCCAGCCGTTCCTTCACCTTAGCGATGGAGCGGACGTAGGGGGCAATCTGTTTGGTGATGGTGGTCAGGTAGCTGTTCTCCTGTTTCAGCTGCAACAGGTCATGTAACTGCGCTGCATGGGAAGGGAACACAGCGTAACGAGATCCAGCCACTCCAGAAACTGGAGCGTCCCTCCTGACTCTAGCTGTCTGAGCGGGTGGTGTTACAACGTGCGAGGAGTTTCTGTGACGTCAACCAGTGTGTTCTCTGACCTTGTAGGTCTCCGAGGGGCTCGTTCTGTGCTTCTACGCTTTCTGCAAAGCCTGGATGTGGTACACCCCAACCAACCGACACTCCAGAAGCTCCCATCTCTTTGGGCTGCAGTTAAGCAGCCATCTAGGGGAGAGAGCTGCAAAGCTATCGTGCTGCTTAGATACTCTCGTCTTTGAATACCCCAGCTTCCCTCCAGACTCTGCTTTTGGAACTGTGGGGTTTTCTGGCTTTTGCTCATCTCGCTGCTTTCTGGGCTCTGGCCATAGTGTGGTTGGAAACTGTGTTATCACCTCTCTGCAATACAGGGGAGTTGGGGGGGATTTGCCTGACAGTCACCCATCCTGATTTATCTTCTCTAAGGGTCTGTCTAAACTACATGGCTCTGTCGATGGAGCCATGTAGATTAGGCTGATCGGCAAAGGGAAATGAAGCTGCGATTTAAATAATCGCAGCTTCATTTAAATTTAAATAGCTGCTGCGCTGAGCCGACAAACAGCTGATCAGCTGTTTGTTGTCTCAGCGCACTAGTCTGGACGCTCCCACACCAACCTGAAAGCCCTTTATCGACCTCCCCGTTATGCCTCGTAGGATGAGGTTTACCAGGGAGGTCGATAAAGGGCTTTCAGGTTGGTGTGGGAGCGTCCAGACTAGTGCGCTGAGACAACAAACAGCTGATCAGCTGTTTGTCGGCTCAGCGCAGCAGCTATTTAAATTTAAATGAAGCTGCGATTATTTAAATCGCAGCTTCATTTCCCTTTGCCGAACAAACAAATCTACATGGGTCCGTCGACGGAGCCACGTAGTCTAGACGTACCCTGACAGAATATGCTCTGAATGGGTAGGGGCGGGTCTTAGTGGGGTGGACCCTTCTTGCCTCGCTCCTCAGCGTGGCAGGAGTGAGAGGGGTAATAAGTGGGTGGAGGGATTGGCGTGAGCGGGAAATGAGGCTGATCCCTCTTGCCCCCTCCCCCCCATGTGGGGAAAGACCTTGCTGTGCTTAGGGTGGCATTCCGGTGCTGGAAGCCCCTGGAGCCCAGTGTGGAGCAGCAGAGGAGCAATGGAGCAGCGTTCCCCGTTTGAAATGTCCCCTTTAAGCCAGTACGTGTGCCAGCCCACGTGCTCCATGAGCCCTCCCGCTGCTCCGCAAGCGCGTGTCAGTGAGCGGGGGAAGGGCGTGGCAGCATGCGCACTCAGCGGGTTAGTGGGCAGAGCGCTCACAAATACCTTCATAGATTTCCTGCTCATTGGCCACCCTCTGACAGGTTTCCTCCCAAATCTGAAACACAAAGTGTGAGCTGGGCAGCGCGTTGCTAGAGGGCTGGAGTGCCTGCTCTGAGGGACGTTGGCCGAGCCTGTTCCTCTCCCTGCCCAGGCTGGGAGAGCTACGTGCTCAGCCGCGCCCCACGCACAAATCTCACCGCAGCAGCAGCCCCGTTCGCAACACTCGAGAGTCTGGCCCTTTTAATTGTCCTAGCAGCTCAGGCTGTGGCCACGACGGCACAAACCTACCTGTACCGCTGCAAACTCTCACACAGCTGTTCTCCGCCAAAGGGAGAGAGCTCGCCCATCACGTAGTCATGCCAGCCCCCATGAGTGGCGGGAGAAGCTCTTCAGCAACCTAGCTCTGTCCTCAGCGTAAGTTATGTCCCTCGGGGGTGGCTAATTGGCACCCACTGAGTGACAGAACGTGTCAGCTTAAGCTGCAGCCTAGCCCTAGCCTGTGTGGAGCTGTTGCAACACAAGAGTAGGGCTGGTGTCTTTCTGGCAAATCCTTCATAGGACGGTGAGTCCTACGAAGGAACAAAAGACAGGACGATGCAGCACTTTAAAGACTAACAAGATAGTTTATGAGGTGATGAGCTTTCGTGGGCCAGACCCACTTCCTCAGGTGAGTTGTGGGTCTGGCCCACAAAAGCTCATCACCTCATAAACCATCTTGTTAGTCTTTAAAGTGCTGCATCGTCCTGTCTTTTGTTCCTTCGTAGGACTGGCTCTGCCACTCGTTTGCCCCAGACCCCATCCTTCCTCAGGATCCAGCCTTTCCTCTGGGTAAATGGGGATGAGGCTGGTGCTCCCTGATGCCCTTCCTGCTCAGAGATGCCCCTTGTTCTCTCCCGGGGTTTGGCACCATCACGAGTCCACCACGAGCGCCGCTCTGCGTTGCGCTAGGGAAGCTGCTCTGCTGGCAGAGGGGCTGGCGTGCCCCCCCCGCCGCAGGACACCTACCTCCTCAAACATGCTCCGCATCATTTCCACCGACGAGTACTGCGAGGCAATCTGCACATCCATCTGCAGGGATTTCTGCAGGATCTCGCTCATGATCTCGGTCTTGATGAGGGAGTGATGCTTGGTCAGGTCACGGTGCAGCTCCTGTACCTGGTCCTTCAGGTTCTGGATCTCCGTTTGCAGGGTCTGCATTGGGAAAGGGAAAGGGGTGAGCTCCTGCGGCATTTCCCTTCCATCCCGCACAGGCAGCCAGTTTGGTTACAGAAGGGGAAGGAATGTGCCTTCTCCAGCCTCTCTCGATTTTCGCGCTAATGCTATTTTCTCCTGTGGAAGCACCATCTTACCATCAACACGTAGGAGAGTCTTTGGGACGAGGTCACCGCTGACGGGACACAGGGCCTGGCAGTTACATACGGTACAGAAGAGTTCTTCTAAGCCAATGGACTTTGCAGGTGCCAAGGGCAGAAGTGAGCACGGTAAAACTCCTTTCTGACCTCCTGCACGGGTCCTAGACCTTCCCCAAATCACTCCTAGAGCAGCTCTCTTTCTGCTAAAGCATCCAGGCTCGATTTAGAAAGATCAGTGATGGAGAATCTGCCACAACCCTTGGTAAACTCTTCTAATGGCTAATTACTCTGTTTAAAGAACAGTACATTCAGACTGGAAATAAGGCATCAGGTGCTTACAGACTGTAATCAAATTGCCCCTTAACTTTCTCTCTGTTAAGCTAAATAGGTTGAGCTCCTTAAGTCTTCTAGGAAGAGAAACAGAACCAACTCACCTGATTTTCCCGTGTAAGTTCCCATGGCTGGTAGGGATGTAGACAAGTAATCGAGTATACGATTAACCGATAAGCCTATGTTTATCTGAAGGAGAGGCAGCATGGGGGGTGGGAAGCAGGAGCCGGAGCTGGGGGAGCTGGCTCCACAGTCCCACCTACCTCTCCCCCCCGCTGTTGTCTCTGAGAGGCAGCAGCACAAGGGAGGGCAGGGGAGTCGGACGTGAAGCAGCCTTTGCCCACAGCAGGCCACACTTGCCACAGACAGAGGCTGCTTTATGGCAGCATGACAGCAGCCTCTGTCCGCGGGGGGTCTGGGCTTCCCACAGGTCAGCAGCGAATCTGGGCCCGCTGCATACAGAGGCTGGTCCCCGGCAGCAGCCCCGTCCAGGGGGGCCAGTTCCCAGCTCTCTGTGGACAGAGACTAGAGCAGCCTCTGTTCGTGGGGAGCTCGGACTCCTGCAGACGGGCTGCTGCCACCCCATGCTGCTGCCGCTGTATCAGAGGCAGCAGCACAGGGCGACGGGCAGGAGCCGGTCTGCCTGGTGAGCTGGCTTTTAAATCGACTTCGCTCGTGGACCGGCTCCCGCCTGCCACCCTACACTGCTGCCTGTGATAGAGGCAGCAGCGCGGGGATGGCTGGGGGCTCCCCGGGAGTGAGGCCAGAGTGCACTGGCTGCCAGCCCCACCCCAGGGACCATCGAAGAGTGGAGTAACCGATAAGAATTCATGTGGTTACTTGACTATTCTGTTACCCACCAGCTAACGTTCCTGATGGCTGGTCTGGTGGCACTTTGTCCCCATTCCACTGGCGCCAGCCAACGGCCATGTGAGTCCTAAGCACGGTGACAATGACCCGACCCAAAGTGTCCAAGGTGACTGCATCTTCACAGCAAGGGGGGATTTGGCCCAAGGGTTCTAACCTTTTCCACGTGACCAAGACGGGAGGGATCAGGCCCAGACGGAGGAGCTAGAAGAGTTAATTGGAGAACTGTTCAGCATCTCTCTCTGCTTCCCCAGCTCTCTTGGCTGCCCCTCCCTGGGTCAGGCCTGCCCTGCAGCATGCCAGGAGCCGTCCCACACTCTTCTTCCACCTATGGGCACTGATCCCGTGAGGCGGGGCAGACCCTCGAGCAGGGCCAGCAGTCCCACGGCCAGTGGTGAAGTGGGTCTCTGCCCTCCCCTGCACACTTACCCGATACATGTTCTCGTAGTTGCGGCAGTGCTCCGTGAAAGGCGTCTCCCCCCCTTCCGCCAGCAGGACCTTGGTGCTGATGTAACGGTGCATGGTGGGCTTCCGAACGATGGAGCCCGTGATGGGCATCTTATCGCAGGCAGGGGAGCAGCTTGACACGATCAGAGTCTTGGAGCACTGGCCACCTGAGAGCCTTAAGCAGAGAGGTGGGAAAGCAGAGATGAGCCGCTGGCCCTGACAATGCTATTTAGCAGAAGCAAACTAGCAAGTGCCTCCATCGGCCTCAGTTGCACAGGGTGTGGAACAAGCATCCTCTGGCCGGCCGGCCGGCCTGCCTTTGTGTCCGGCCTGTCATGCTAGCTAGGCAGCCGCCCCTTGTGTGTTTGAGTCGGTCTGCCAAAGGGAATCCAGCTCCTCCTTGAGAGAGCCCTCTAGCGCAGGACAAGGCGGGCAGGTCGTCATCCTACGGGACCGGCTCCTTCCTTCCAGCGGGCCGGGAGCCTTCTAAGACCACAGCTGCCCTGTGCCGGGAGATACAACGGCACTGACAGGAGAGGCCAAAGGCGGACGAGTTCCTGCCCGCCCTTTCGTTCCAGAGCTACCTGTACTTCTAAAGGCAGATGTCACGTTTCATTTCTGACCGTCTCCCCAGGGAGGTTCCCTGCCCATAGTTACTGCCTCTTTCGGGGGAGGGAGGACATCGCATTCGGTGCCAACCGTTATGACCAGAAAGCAACAAAATCACCAACTCTAATGAGGTGACCGCGTCGGTGCCATTCCTGATACAAGGTGTTTTAGTTAAGCCCCCGGCTCAGACCCTGGGCCGACCGTGCGGTTACAGGGTGGGCACGCCACCTGGCTAACCCGTCACCAAGCTCCTCCTAATCCCTGTTAATCTGATTGAGAGTTTGTACCGTGTAACGATGGTTCCTACAAGGGAACCCATTATGGTAGGGTGAGCACGATACCGTAGCATTCGGAGTTCCTGTTCTCATGCTGTTAAGTTGTTCTGCCTGATCGCTTCTGAATCAGTCATAAAGCCAGTGACTGAAGAATAGGGAAGGTGTCAGTGAGGCTGTGCACTGCTAACACAATGTGACAAATACCCAGTAAGAACCAACCTCCACTCAGAAGGACAATCGGAAGCACCTCATTCGATGTGGATTCTCTTGTGCTGTATCAAGTGCCACCTCTGTCAGGTCGGATGAGACAGACACTACCGACAAGAACGTCCCGAGTCTCAAAATCCTGATGTTTGCCCCCCAGGAGAGTCTTGGGACTGGATCCCTACACTGATGACACCAACAATGTCTTGCTTCATGCACACACTGCGTTTATTGGCCTCTCTTGATGGCCAAAAGAAACAGTTCTTCTAGGGAGCTGCAGCTCGGCTCCGACAGCCCAGTCCAAAGAGACAGGAATGCAAGTTTCAGCAAAATATGCCGGGGAGCAGGTGAGTTCACTGAGCTGTGAAGTGACTGGAAGCTGCAAATTGCCAACAAGGATAGTAAAGCAGCAATATTTGGACAAGCACATAGAACATACTCACAGCATGATTTAGCATTTCATCCGTTGTTTAATAACAGTCAAACTCTTCAGTGGAAGCACTTTGAAGAAAGCAAGTGACTGCTGCTCGGTGCATTCAGACGCTGCCTGCACAGGCTGCTACCACCTTTCCAGGCGTGATGCGATGAATCAAGGCTCATGCTAGAGCCAGTGCTCACTGATCAGAGGAGGCAGCCGGACACCCTCTCTGCAGTGCCTGCTGGATTCATATCGTCCAGCTCCCCGTGTCCCATCAGAATCCCAGTCTCTTGAAAGGCAGCCCGTTAAATGCAGCTGAACGGCTCCCTTGACAAGGAACGGGGGCGCTCACTTCCCCCGCACGATGATTAGTTTCCCTGAATTGTAAAATCCACTTGGAGCCCAGGCATGATCCCCATTCACAGCAAGAAACTTGATGTCCTTTCGCAGGGCGAGCAGCTGGAGCAGAGTGGAGGGGCCTAGGCTGTCTGTGACATCAATTGGCCTAAATATATCCAGTGCAAGGAAACTGTGTCCTGGAGAGTTCTTTGAAATTCTGATAAAAATAGTGGCAGACCGACAGGCTGCTCGGGGGCCTCGGCTGGAGCCAGGCACTCAGGTGCGCTGGGCGAAAAGGCAGGCGCTCCTTTGGAGTGCTGCGGGGGTTGGCGTCGGCGCGGAGCAGAGAGCGGGGAGAGGACCCCGGGACAGCCCTGAGCAGCTCCTCAACCAGGGAGCGAGCGAGTCACTGTCAGCATCATGGAGAATAGCTCGGGGCTCTTCATCCCGCAGTGCAGTGCAGCACCCGTCCCACCACCCGGGAGCTGGCTTGGTCGGATCCTTTCAAGGGGGCGAGGGGCGCGTATGCAGGAGGGCTGGAGGCCGACTAGCAGACTGTTTGCATCACACTGACGAAGTGGGTCTTCGCCCACGAAAGCTCATGCTCCAATAAATCTGTTGGTCTATAAGGTGTCGCAGGACTCCGTGTTGTTCACCACACTGCGTTCCATGCCTGAGGCAGAGAAGGGAGTTGATTGTGCTCCAGCTAACTCCAGGGGGAGGGAGCCCAAAGATCCTCCAGAGGCCGGTGCGATGAGGAGTGACTCCCGGTGGAAGATTCATGGCACTTGGTCAGTAGCTGCAGGGCATTGGCAGCGACCAAGAGCCAAACCAGGATCGTTGTCGCTGGAGTCTCAAGACGTGGCTCTGGATTTGTGTGGGTGGCTCTTTGCCAGAGCCCAAAGGACCTCCCATAGGCATATCCGTGGGGAGACGTGACCTCCAGGTGGGCAGGGTTCTTCTGTAGCTACGAGGCAGAGCGTAGCAATGGAGCCAGGAGGCCTGGCCCCTCACGCTGGCTTGGCACCATGCTCCACGTGGCCTTTGGGTCACTTTCCCGCCATGTGTTTCAGTTCTGCAGCTGTGACATGGGCCCGGTGGGGCTCTGAGAAGTGGCCAAGGAACAGGGAGAGCTCTGGCTCAGAGGGGATAGATACTGTCATGGGGGATCACGATGCGCGTCAGCCTCCGTTATCTTGTCCTCCAACAGTCACTAGTTACAGCGAAGGTCTCGTCAGATATTCCAGAGGACTTGCTGCAATCTACGACTTGGGCCCTGCTGCTGTGTGGTCAGTAGTTCCAGGCTCACGGTTTGTATGGATTAGTACAGGGAAGATTCCCACTTCGCCAGTGATTGTGATAAGGGCGGGAATTCTTGGGAACGCTTACTGCTTTCCTCCCGACTTCGGCAATTCCAGTGTCCTGTGATTTACCTGTCCGCCAAGGAAGGCATTGGTCATGGACAGACAAACGCTCTGTCCTCTGACACTTGCCGCTCTTTGCAAGGAAAAGGTGGGGTGTGGGTGGAGGAGTTTCTGGCAGATTTTCCTTAAAGCTGCTGTTAAACTAACCACTTCTCTCCTGATCTGCACCAGCCCGCACCCCTGCTGTGCTGTAAGGAGGATCCCACCTTTCAGGGTCCATCACGTTTCATCAGACTGTCTCCGGCAGAACAGACGCGCAGCTCCCCTTGTGCACCAAACCCTGGTTTCCAGGAATTGCCAATTCACCTCCCTGTGCCTATTCCTGACACTAATCAGCACAGCTGTTACGCACTGTCCCTGGGGCACTGCTCATCCTGACAAAGTCAAGGGCAGCTCGTTGGAAAGGCGGAGCGGCAAGAGAGCATCGGAGCATTTCATACCAATGCACAGGGCAGGGATAAAATTAAAATAAACAGCCGCCTGTGGCAGGGAAAGCAGGGGTGCTGCAGGTCAGGAGGGAGGTACCCTGGCCAAGCCAGCCTTGCTCCTGCTTCTACCTCATGCTGTCAGGCTCTTCCTTTCAGGAGCACTAGCCTCTGCGTCCTGCTGGTCACCTTAGTGTAGGACTAAAACTGAACGGCAGTCCAGCTGTCACGAGTCTTCCGTGTGCTTGGCAGGCTGCCCCCCTCGGCGCTGTGCGTGAGATGCAGTGATGGTGTTTGAGTGGCACTTCCAGCATTGCGTGTGGATTAGCCAATAATTCTGTGTTTGTGTTTTGTGTTTATAAAATGTAACAAACCAAATATTCCAAACCAAGCCACAAAGGCTCCGTGGAGGAGGCTGCTCCCTTTAGCCTGATCCGCGAGTTCTCTCTGAATGCTGGAAGGATCGGTGGCTTAGTGGGGAAACTCCATGTGCAACTACATCCCACTCTGCCCTTTTCCACAGGCGGCTGTTGCAAGGCACCGTCCCCCCCACGCTCCCAGAGAGTCGCGGTCGCTGTGGAAGAGCTGCACCAGATGGCACCACTAGCCGTGCTATCTGCTGGAGCAGCTGTGAAGGTGACTCGTTCCTGACGTACTCTCCATGTGCCACAGCAGGGTCTGTGTTTCTGCTCATCCTACCCTCATCCTGAAATCAAGAAGGCAGCTGGAAGAATGACCCAGGATGTCCGAGGCTTTCAAAGTCTACCCCAGATGGACCTGCCGTTCTGTTTTCTTCTCCCGACTGTGTGTAGAACAGATTGTGCCTCTAAGGAGATGCTCAGATTTGTACAGGACTGCTCGGTTCTTTGAAAATCCAACTTTACATCATTGTTTCAAGGGAGAGTCCTGGGGGAAGGTGGATTTTCTTCAGCGTGTAGAAGCAGCAACTTCAAAGTAGGTTTACTAGGGGGCTGCATCCTCTGCTCGCTACACTCACCTACCCCCCCTGCTTTCTTCTCTGAGAGCCTGCTGATGCTGATGATGTGATGACGTCCGTCTGTTGCCCGGCAGGAACATTCTATCGTCCGTCGGGAAAAACGTTTTATATAGAGAGAGATTGGAAAGAAACCTCCCTGAAAGGTCTTCTGGCAGCCTACTTTCTGACCTGCTCCTGTGAGACTTCTGGCCCCAGCGTACCAGTGCTTTGCCCAATACGGAGAAAGTGGGGCTGGATTCTGCTGGCCTGGTTTTGATAACGTGCCCAGAGACCAGGGTGATGGGCATAGGTGACCTCAGATACGACAGAGCAGAAGCCAACTGCAGCATCCCATGGCAATTGCTCATGATCTCCTGGCCCGGATTCATCTCCAGTACCGAGCTACCCGGCCACCTGGGCACCTTTTGGCTTGTGTGCATCTTGCGGAGCCACCGGTGAGAACTGCCACTTGCTTTCTGCAGGCCAGTCCTGTGTTAGTATTTACCCCCCAAATCTCACTGTGCACGTGGAGACGGTGGCTCCCCTCTCCCTCCCCGGGCATGCAGCTGAGAACTGGGCCTCTTACATGTTTCCATTGCTGATCCCAGGTCCGATGCCCCCTCCACTCCCCACCACAGACCGGCGCGGATTCAGCAGCAACAGCGGCTCCAAGCAAAGGGCAAACTCAGCCCGGAACTCGGTGTTTATCTGCACAGGGCCAAAGAGACAGATGAGGACATCTGGGAGGCAGGGTGACCTCTGCTCCTTCCGTGACTATTCCCTTGCTCAGGTACCCTAAAATGCACTGGGCTTCAAGACCGAGCAGCCCCAAACTAGCTGCATAGGGCACCGTGCTCTGTCTGCGACCCGGCCCAGTCTAGTCTGGCCTGGGCGTTTCCTCCAGGCAAGGAGGGATGAAACACGCTTGAGGAACAGGAAATAACCACCCAGGCTAACGTGCTGCCAGCTCTCCTGGCTTATCTCGTGGGCAGCAGTGGTGCTGCCGGGCTGTTGGGGTGCGTGCTGAAAGCGCAGTGGGCTTGGGGCCGTGGGGAGCTGGGGACGTAACAGCAGCAATGACTCCGGTGACTTGCTTATTTGGAGGCAGGCGCGGGAGAGGTCAGTGCCCCTGAACCGACCTGACAAGTGTACAGCACGTTCCAGAGTGTGGCGCTCCGGCGACAGCGGGGCCCGTGGCCTGGGAGGGCGGGGCTTACCTTGCTGGTCTGCGTGGGCCGCAAGCGATGCGGGAGCTTGACTATTTTCTGGAGCCTCTCCATCAGTTGCTGAAAGCGAGCGGGACGTTGTGTGAGAGCGTTCCACTGCGGGCCCTGCTCCCCCTCCTTCCCGCTGCTGCCCCCCTCCTTCCCGCTGCTGCCCCCCTCCTTCCCGCTGCTGCCCCCTCCTTCCTGCTGCAGGCCCTGCTGCCCCC